TGGACAGAGTAGGTGATTTAGACAGCAGTTGGGCACTTGTGGGTGGCGCCGTTGGTGATTTTGTGGGACCAGCAGTTGGACCGCTTGTGGGCGGTGCAGTGGGTGATTTAGTGGGACCAGCAGTTGGACCGCTTGTGGGTGGGGCTGTGGGAGATCGAGTGGGACCAGCAGTAGGTGATTAGTGGGACCAGCAGTTGGACGCTTGTGGGTGGGGCTGTGGGAGATCGAGTGGGACCAGCAGTAGGTGATTTAGTGGGACCAGCAGTTGGACCGCTTGTGGGTGGGGCTGTGGGAGATGAGTGGGACCAGCAGTAGGTGATTTAGTGGACCAGTTGGGACCGCTTGTGGGTGGCGCTGTGGGAGATCGAGTGGGACAGCAGTTGGTCCGTTTGTGGGTGGCGCTGTGGGAGATCGAGTGGGGCCAGCAGTAGGTGATTTAGTGGGACCAGCAGTTGGTCCGCTTTGGTCGCGTGCAGTGGGTGATTTAGTGGGACCAGCATTGGACCGCTTGTGGGTGGGACTGTGGAGATCGAGTGGGACCAGCAGTAGGTGATTTAGTGGGACAGCAGTTGGACCGCTTGTGGGAGGGGCTGTGGAGATCGAGTGGGACCAGCAGTAGGATTTAGTGGGACCAGCATTGGTCCCTTGTGGGTGGCGCCGTTGGTGATTTTGTGGGACCAGCAGTTGGACGCTGTGGGCGGTGCAGTGGGTGATTTTGTGGGACCAGCAGTTGGACCGCTTGTGGGAGGGGCTGGTGGAGATCGAGTGGGACAGCAGTAGGTGATTAGTGGGACCAGCAGTTGGACTTGGGGTGGCGCCGTTGGTGATTTTGTGGGACCGCAGTTGGACCGCTTGTGGGCGGTGCAGTGGGTGATTTAGTGGGACCAGCAGTTGGACCGCTTGTGGGTGGGGCTGTGGGAGATCGAGTGGGACCAGCAGTAGGTGATTTAGTGGGACCAGCAGTTGGTCGCTTGTGGGTGGCGCCGTTGGGATTTTGTGGGACCAGCAGTTGGACCGCTTGTGGGCGGTGCAGTGGGTGATTTAGTGGGACCAGCAGTTGGACCGCTTGTGGGCGGTGCAGTGGGTGATTTAGTGGGCCAGCAGTTGGACCGCTTGTGGGTGGGACTGTGGAGATCGAGTGGGACCAGCAGTAGGTGATTTAGTGGGACCAGCAGTTGGTCCGCTTGTGGGCGGTGCAGTGGGTGATTTATGGGACCAGCAGTAGGTGATTAGTGGGACCAGCAGTTGGCCGCTTGTGGGTGGCGCTGTGGGAGATCGAGTGGGACCAGCAGTTGGTCCGTTTGTGGGTGGCGCTGTGGGAGATGAGTGGGACCAGCAGTAGGTGATTTAGTGGGACCAGCAGTTGGACGCTTGTGGGTGGCGCTGTGGGAGATCGAGTGGGACCAGCAGTGGTCCGTTGTGGGTGGCGCTGTGGGAGATCGAGTGGGACCAGCAGTAGGTGATTTAGTGGGACCAGCAGTTGGTCCGCTTGTGGGTGGGGCGTGGTGAGATCGAGTGGGACCAGCAGTAGGTGATTTAGTGGGACCAGCAGTTGGACGCTTGTGGGGGGGCTGTGGGAGATCGAGTGGGACCAGCAGTAGGGATTTAGTGGGACCAGCAGTTGGACCGCTTGTGGGTGGGGCTGTGGGAGATCGAGTGGGACCGCAGTAGGCCGGTTGTTGGTGATTTTGTGGGACAGCAGTTGGTCGCTTGTGGGTGGCGTGTGGGAGATCGAGTGGGACCATGGTCCCACTAAATCACCAACAGCACCACCCACAGGCGGACCAACTGCTGGTCCCACTAAATCACCAATGGTGCCACCCACAGCAATGCCATCCATCGGATCTTCATTGACATGTGATGATTCCTACATCTGTGCCACAAAGTCAAACACCAACTACTATGTAGCCTGTAGCCGAGATTCGGCTTCTGATGCTGGCACATACTCATGCATCAAGGCTACTGAATTTGGCCAGTACTCTACCTGTGGCCCCTGCAATGAAGGTGATTTTGATGCTTCAACTTGCCCTTCAGAGGATCATGACTGTGCGGGAAACAGTGGAACGAAAATGTACTACTGCTTAAAGGAGACTGCTGATGATGCAGGAAGCTATCGTTGCCAAAAGTACTCAGATATCACGGCCTTTTCTGCTTGTGGGGAATGCTCTTCTCGGCGTGAACTACAGTGGTACGACACCGCTAAAGACAAAAATGAAGAACCCAAAATTGAAGAGCCAGTGTGCACTGCTGACTCTTGCCCTGAGCCACAAACTGAAAATGAAGAATATCTTGAGCCATATTGTCTATCTGATGATTTTCCATGTGGTACTCATGGCAAAAACAAGGTCCCCATGGTTTCCGTTTGTCACTACTCTTATTTCTGGGGATTTCATACGCTGTGCATAACAGAAGAGGCATCCGATATGCTTTTATACTATGAACATGATTATTGTGGACCTTGTCTTGGTGGGTTGGATGTTTTGGGGCGAAAGTTTCTTGAATTGTGGAGGAACTGATGATTCATCATCCATCTTGAAAATAGTGGGTTGCTTCGGCTCTTATCTAATTCGACTGGATAACACTTTATTGGAGGTTACCATGGTCCAGGCTGACTGCCCAAGTGATCCAAAGCCAAACCACAGGATGGATCTGTGGAACCGCTGGGGCAGGAGTTGAGGGACCTGTGGGGCTCTCTGATGGCGTGTCCGCCGGGGCAGAAGTTGAGGGACCACTAGGAGAAAGGCTGGGATTCTGGCTTGCTGTCAAGCTGGGACTCTTGATGGGATTCTCGATGGCTGTGAACTCAAGCTTGGATTCATGCTCTGAGTTATGCTGGGCATACGATGTTTGGACCAGAACTGGAATGGTGGAATATCCATCCCACTGAGTCATCGGCTTGAGCTAGATCCCCAAAGCACTTAACAGATCCGGGAGTGGCCAACATGCCCAACAGAAATTGGTACCGCAACTCATGTAGACAATGATTGAATCATTCGTTTCGCTGGCCCTGGAAGCTCCTGTCGACCTACACAGAGCGCAGCTTCAAGCATGCGGAGTGCTACTTTGTTGATGATTGGCAATATATAAACTTCCTACTTATCATGTAATACGCACGCAGCTAATAAAATGAAAAATCGAATTTCCCACACACATCAAGCTGTCCCCCACCTCTGCTGTGCTGTGATGCGATACTGTGAAGCTAGCACTCCACCTGAGTCGCAGGTTCTTGCTGGCCCAAGTTGGGAGTCGAAGGTGAGGGCTCGGCAACACCAAACGAAGGTCGAGGCAACAAAGCGAGGCCTTTCGTAAAAAGGACTGGTGCTTGTTCCGAAATGGAGGGTGTGGAGGACGAAACACTAGATCCCGATCTTCTAGTAGGAGGAGACGGAGGCACGGGAGGCATGAAGACGTTTTGCTCTGCAACAGGAGGCATTGCACGAGCATTCGACCTGGACTTCGAGATGGAACTTGGAGGGCTTTCAGGGGGCTTAATGACGCTGCCATCAGGACCCTTGATGCCGAACTTCGTGCGACAGGCTTGTACCATTTCTGCGACGACTTCTTCACCGCGGGCTTCCCATTCCTCGCGGTTCTTGATGGCATAGTTCAGGTATTCATCCGATGAGACACCAAAAACACCACACTCTTTGAGTTTTTTCGTCAGTGGAATGATGTAGAAATCAAAGAATCCAAACTCGCCCTTGTACCAAAACTCTTTAGGGTCCTTCTCCATTCGTCCATTCAGATAGGCCACGTAAAGTTCTTCAAACAAGTTTTGATTCCACTTCCTATACACATGCCAGTGTTGCATGGTGTGGCTATGGTAGAAACACAAAGTGGAACAGACGCATGAGCTTGGTGCAGTTGAAAGCTGCAGCATCCATACAATCCAGAGCATTCGTACCTGATGTCGCTGGCTTGAATAATGTGTTCAATCTGCAGACAGCAAACAAACAAGCGTCTTTGAGCATCACAGAGTGCACGACTGGAGTTGGCGAGGAAAACGCTATCATTCACGTACCACAATGGTGGCTTTTCTGTTGATCTCATCCGTCTTGCTCTCATCCTCAAAACTGGCACTGTCGCCTTTCTTGAAGGCCTTGTCCCATCTATCATTGCGCAGAGCCTTCATTTCCTTATCTACAATATCGGTTGACATTACCGACTGCCGGAGAAACGAAACAAACAGAGAGTGAGACACGAGAGGATCGCAAAGTGGGGTTGCGACTTGAAGCCGTGCAAACGATGGTCCACTTTCTTACATTCACGACAAGTTGACGGAAACGGATAAGATCAGCTTGTGTCTGGAAAAGATAGGCTCGAAGGTCATCGTACTGGGGGTGCATGAGCAATTCCCAGCTCAAGTCAAGGGAATTCTAAACGGATATAAACAGATTAGTGTCAGTGGTCAGAATGGTACATCCGTAGGCATTCGCACAACCTGTCTTTCGACGATGCTTACCTGCTCTGCAACCGACCTCTGGTTGTACTTCTCGGCAATTGGTACGCCCTCCTTGACTAGCTGGGCGTTGCTTACTCCCACATGATCTGTTTTCAGAGCCAACAAGCAGTCCGTTGCGTTAGAATGGATGACGTGGGAATATGCCATTGCCGATGCTCACACGAACGAAACGTACCAACGTCATGAATCAAGGCGCTGAAGGCGCACGCAAATTGGGTAAGAGGATCCGAAGTTATGCCTGTTTTTGGATAGAACGGAATTTTTGTGTTAGCGACAGCAAGAGCGTGGTATTGCCCATCTTCCCAAAGTCGTCTATTGTGTAGCTCCTCACCGTAAGTATGGCTGCAAATGGGATCACAAATGGCGGTCAGTGTCTTTTTGTCCGAAATAAAGGACGAACGACAGTATCATCACTTACTCATGAAGGGTCGCGTGGAGCGAGGGGTTCCCTTCTGCCATCGGGTCTCCGTTCTCGAGCAGGTGAGACGGGGCGACAATCCTTTCACAAAAAGAGGAAACGGTGTCAGAAGTGATCAGGAACGGCGATGTAGCCACCGACAAACCGATCCTACCTTGACATTAACTTGATTACACTCATGACAACATCTGTGAATGGGAAGAGTACAGCACTGAGTTAGGACAGGCTGAGTTACGAGCGACAATAACCCAGACTTGAACGACTCGTCACTCACGTGAGGCATGATCAAAGTCTGAAAAGAGGCAAGCAAGGGAAATCAGAGGAAAAGTGGTTATCAGAATGGACCTTCTAAACAAAGCACGTGCCAGCCCGAATTCAATACACTCACTGTGAAATGGATTGTCATTGTACATGCTGGCAATAGTGCTGACGAGATGGTGGAGTTGTTCTACGACCTCCTCAGGTAGCTTGATTTGGTCAGGATCCACTTGCTTTGTAGATGCCTTGCCATCGAAGTCCGGCAAGCGGATTATCTCCTGTACCTCTTCCAGTGGCATGGTTTCTCCAAAGGTTGCCATAGGCGTAAAGGCTCGAGTTGAGACACTCCCACCCCTGCCCCGAAGAGCCCCGTGCGAACTTTGCGCCGCGAGAGGACTCTGTGCCTTAATAGAAGCATGGCGGACCCCGATCTGCTTGAGTAGCCTGGCCATCATCTCCACGTTCCAGTTGATGAGGCGCAGTGTACGGCTATCAAGTCCTGGGAATGCTTTGCCAGGCTTAGTATTAGCCCAACCGGCAGTGGCAGTCACACATTCGGACGATAGCTGACTGGGGGTAGACATTACACTGTTAGCACGCTCTCCCTCTACCGCAAGCCAGTAACCTTCGAGATAGCCCTTTCCTTTCAAGAAAGGCATTGGTTCCGTTCGCTTGTGTACCCAGGACCCTCTCCCATGATCGATTAGCAACTGTGCCGTTTCTTTTGAGCACTGGATCTTGTTGGGCTGACTTGAACTCTCCAATCTAGCACAAGTATTCATAGTATCCCCAAAGAGCTGGGAAGACATGAAGGGAAGAATGGATGAGATGCCAATGAAGCAGAATGTTCGAACTTGTTTGTGTCCTGCAAGCCCGCTGATCTTACCTGGAAACGGGCTCGCTCGCCTCGAAGAACCCCAGCCTTAGAGTGACAGTCAGCGTTTGAGGAAGGGAAAAAGTGAGCTCCCAAACGTCTCCAAACAAAACCCTTTCGATCAATACTTCCTTCATTCTCCTTACCGTGACGGGGCCTGAGTGCATTCCTGAAGGCGAAGAACAAGAAAGAGAAACAAAGTTAGCAAAACTTGGCAACTGGCTTCCATGGCAAGCCTTTGGATCCAAGTAGTCTACTACGTTACGTACCAATACGAAGGGCCAGTTCGCCTGTATCGGGACCAAGCGTAACCTCAAGCTTCTTGACCAACACAGCCATCTTGGCGATGATATCTCTGCCGAATCTCGCCATGGCTACAGCATGATCGCGTCGAGGGTCTGGAAGTCCACTCACAGCAACCTGTAAAGTGGGCATTCGAGTTTCAGCATGAGATTAGTTCCTCACAAAGACACTAGCACAACTAACTGCACAACAACTAACTGAGGAACTTACGTAGCAATCACCCACAGTTTCCACTTTGAAAACACGCCGGCGCTTGGCAATGCGATCAAAGCTCTGATACAAAGTCTCGAGGAGGACAAATACTTGTGACGGTTCGCGCACGGAACTCCAAGCCGTAAAGCCAGAAATATCGGCAAACAGTACCGTTGTGTCCAAAAAGAGATCGGCCAAAGGAGCTGCAATCATTGGGACTCCGTCTTGATTCATCCTTTGACTGGCACCTTCGTTCAAGAAGGTTTTGAGGCTGTTTCGCCTCTTGCCAGGACCTTCTTGTTGTTCTTGTTGGTGCATGATAAGTCTGTCTCGCAGATGGTCCGGGACGATGGATGTGACAATGGCATTGGATTTGGCAGCGTCCGAAATGATCTTTTCATTCCTCTTGAGAACCATGCGGTCGTACATGAGAAAGACCAAGAGTACCAAGATGAATGTCCCCGCCACAACGCCGGCAAAGACGGCAGGAGTCGATGTCTTGTAGGCCGCTTCAAAGACGGGGGTAGGATAGATGGTCATGGTGTACATGCAGTGACCCGGAGTGGTGGGAAAGTCTGGGTTTGTGTAACTTGTGAGGTTGACAAAGACTGCCAGATCATCGTACTGACCCCCGTGAAGGTCCCCATCTCCTGCAAAGAAGGCTTCTTCCCCATCGATAGTGTATGAAACAGTCTGTCCACAGTTGTTGTTGACAACCGCCAACATCCCGCGTACATTGGAGGGCAATAGCTTTTGCATGGCAGCATCAAAGGACATGGCAGTGGAGATAATGGCGACCACTTCTGACTCGTAGTCCCCCACAAACTTGTGGACTGGCTGGTATCCAAAAAAGTGGGGATTATCGAGAATGTCCCTGGAGTGGAATCCGTTGTGCTCGTCTTTTGGGACACCGATGAATGGCTTGATAATACTAAAGGTCGTTTCGTACTTGAGAGGAATGACGGCCATCATGGGAGCGGCAATGGGTGGAGTGCTTCCCAGATTCCAGTTGATGGGCGGACTGAACCTTCTCGAGGGTGGAGACTGTATGCCTCGAACAATGTACATGTCCCTCTCGTCGTCGATTTGCCAGGTGCCGTTTCGCTTCTTGACAAAATCGTTTACGAACAAGCTGGTATTGGTATTGAGAAAGTCGAGGTGCCCATATCGGATGTAATGCGAGTCCTTGATGGCTTGCTCAAAGACGGATGACGTGTAGTTGCGGTAGCTTTCACGCTGATCCTTGTAGACCAGGCTGCTGAGTCCGACATACTCGGTACGAGAGATCTTCAAGTAGTCGTTGGCGTAGGTTTCCCACATGGGAGGCCAGTAGTTGGGCCACGCCGGGTCGCCGTTGCCATCGAGATTGGCCGAAAGCGACACTGTGTCCGACAAGCTCCTTAGGGCCGCCTTGATGTACGTTTGTTGGTCCAGCGCCGCATCGGCTACGGTACGAGCAAACTGGGCGTACTGCGTATCAGTGCGTAAGTAGAGTAGAGAGAGATGTTAGACAACGGTGTCTCGAAGACAGGCCATGACAAGTGTTACGGTAGGTTACGTACGACGGTGCGAAAGTTTTCGTCTTCCTGGCGAACCAGCAGGGTGTACGTAGTGGCCGTAACGGAGACGGCAGTCACCACGAGAGCGAGAAACACGAGGATCTTCCAAGTCGTGACCCTGGCCGTTTCCTTCTTCGACCCTTTGCGGATCTCCTTCACTTCATCCCGAGACGAAGATTCGTCACCACGGGTACTGCTGTTCTCCGTACTGTTCACCTTGTCATCATCGTCAAAGTAGTCGCTGTTCTCACTGCCTTCAAAGTCGCTCATCCTTCTTCGTTTGTTTGCTTGTTTTTACTATTAATAGTACTTCCTGTACAACGATTGCTTGGAGAGGCACTTGCTTCGATCCAAGTCGAGTTGCTTAAAAATTGTGAGCTTTTCTCAGAATTCGTGGTGTTTGAAAAGTCCAAAGCAAGATCATCTGCCCAGCTAGCAAGCACGGGTACCGGTAGCAACCGTACTGGTAGTCCCTCAACACGTCTACCGTCGCTATTGGCTTCTAGCTAGACCCTCTATCACCGATACCGGTGCTCTAAAAAGCCCTTTCTCAGGCCACAGAAGATCGTCTTCGCAGTCATTTGGGCCATTTGAACATTCCAACAATAATGTGAGCATGCAGTCATTACAATCTTACATTAGAGTACGTACTCCCACGAAACAAAATGTCGAACAACACTAGAATTCTCAGTACTATAGCTGTACTGTACTGTACTGTAGTGTACTCTCGATATTAATTGTACCGCACGTTTACACTAAGTCTTGTACTACTGAATTCTGAATTCCTCAGCGAATCGTATGAATTAGATTTAAACCCACAACTAGGATTCTTTCACTTATATCTTTTTTTTTTTAAAAACATGACATTGTCAGTCTTTGGCTAGTGGCTGACTCTGGTTCTTAATTAAAGCGTTCTACCATAAACATTGTTGCTTGGACACTGCATCAATAGTGTCAAGTGCTCCAACAAAAAGATGGATTTAACAGCATGCTTTCTGTAAAGGAGGGGACAAGGGAAGTATCGAGATCAGAGCATTAGATGCAGAATCGGATCTAGTAGATGCACTTTCTGTTGCTGTTGCCTTTTCATTGCGGTACATAAAAGGCTTTTGAAGCTGCGGTTAAACACGACCACATCACTGCTTGGATGCAGGTAAGTTTAAAAGTAACATCATGATCGATAAAACCACAAACAAGTGATAAAATAAATGAGATAGAGATATCGGGGAAAGCGTGATGGGACATTGGGTGATGGGCGTGTGAAAACCAGGGGCATGCAGTGTAACCAGTAACCAGATACTATCTGGTACTCCTATCTGGTACGTGCTCGAGCACTGCAGCGTAGACTACTAATAGAAGTTTTGTGTAAAGTGTAAAGTAAGTGTACTAGTAAAGAGTAAAGAGACATACTGTTCTCGCTGTTCGAACTGGTGCAGAGTGCAGAGGCAGTTCTGCCGTTCACCCTTATCTTGCATAACTCTTTTTGATGTTGAAGGCTTCTACCAGCTAGCTAGACTACAATGCATGATATGTGTCAGAATTTCATGTAAGTACACGTACTCTGAGAAGGACTCCAGCCAGTACCGGCATGTAAGAGGTGGCGCTCCATATCCTACATACCCGAGAGGGATTAAAGAGGCAACTTGGAACCGTTCGTGTATGCGAGAAGGATTGCCAGAACACTTACTTCTGTCGCGTCTTTCGTTTGCTTCATAGTCCTCGCTTGCACCATGACTAACGACTCCTGAAACGTTGAAGCGAAGAAGACAACAACTTGAATGATGGTCAAAAAGTTCAAAAAGTTTGGAGCACAACTGCGCTTCCCTCGCCACGAGCACTACTTGTACAATTGTACTAGTCTACTACGAGTACCAGCTAGCTAGAGCACAGAAACAGTACCACTTGTACTGTATTCAGTACCATTACAACATCATGAAGTAAGTAAGTGATGGAAAAAGTCAGAAGTCTCATTAAAGTTCAGGGTTGCTGGTTCAACTAAATTTGGATACGAACTCTGTTCATGACAAAAGTTCAGGTAACGTAATGCTCATGAACTGAACCAGTTCGTGAATACGCCAATTTTGAGCAGCCTCGTGAACCAATTCATGAACCCATTCGTGAACCAAAACCTAGGGTTGCTTATGGTTAGCAAATACAGGCTGTATGCTCGTATTCAAGAACAAAACGCCGATGCACTGGGTCACCAAACCTGGCACAAGTGTAGCTGGTGGATAGTTGGACTGAAGGTGGCTTTGCAAGTCAGGAAAATTTTGCTTACTAGACCTGTGTTGCCTCATTTATGGTGCAGAATTCTCATGAACCAATAATGTGGAAAAGTTCACCAACTCTTGTATTCTGATGAACTTTCAACCTAGTTCATGAGTGGCCCAAACCCCCCATGAACCACTTCATGAACGTGCGCTTCATGAACCGGTTCGTGAACCCTAATTGAACTATTTCATGAAATATTAATTGAACCAGCAACCCTGTTAAAGTTTGCATGTTTGCAACTCGGCGTCCCGGTGATGTCGGTAGCCATCCTAAACGTTAGTCCCTCTTCTCTTTTGTGCCCACAGGCCTACACTGTACTGACCAGTACCAGTGATAGCTTGATACAGTACCGTACCTGTCACATTGCCTGTTATCGAGGCATGCCACCATGCGAACCAGTTTCCTTGTCCCTTGGCTAAGGGCATCGACCTTAGCAATCGATATTCCGCGACTACCCCTGGTCAAACGTTCGGTCATTTGGCCCACAGCGGCAGTCTACTTGTACCTAGACTACCGTACCTAGTAGCTCTGAGCGCTGGTGCTGCACTGCGTGTTTGCTCAATGCGATACGAGTACGTGTACTAGACATACTGTACCGGGCTGAGTCACTCGACTGTCACTCGACCGGACTTCTTGGACATTTTATTTTCCAATGGCATAAAATCTTTGGTCACCTTGTGGTTGCTCGAGTTGAACTCCACCCAATGCCAGGAGGATACCAGTACTACTCAAGTAGTAGCCAGTAGCCAATACTTGGCTGCTTCTTCGGAGTACTGTACTAGACATTGCAGTGTTGGTATTTGGTAGCTATCCAAGTTTCAATATGTAGGCCGCCATCTGCAACCCAGTAGGAACAACCACTGGCTAGTTGCGTGTGGATGGACATGCAGCGAAGGAAAGAGTGCCTGATTGTCTCGGGCTCGCTTCTGGACCGCGCAGCAATTGTTGTGATGGCTGGTTGAAAGACTTGCTGTCAGAGCTCTCAACCCCTCTTAATTATGTTTCCTGTTTCCTGTTTCTTTTCCCCTTTTTCCTCCAGTGGTCCTTGCAGGTAGTCCACACTTGATACCGGTATATGTCTGGACAAAGAGCGAGTGCGAATTGGATCGTCTCTGTCTCTCGATTGCGAAGGAGCCTGTTTGCTGATCTTTGTTTCCTGCGCGCGAGTTAGACCCACTTAACCTGTTCAGTACCCCACCATACCTACCAGTACGGTACCTGGTAGGTTTTTCTCTGGAGTACTACTACATGTACGGCCTCGGGTTCAATTGGCCAAAAGGACTCTGGAAGAAAATTCGAGGGGTCCTCTCAGGAATTCAAGGGCTCGGAAGAGGAATTTGAGGGCTTTTTACTTAAGGGGATATCCTCTCTTTGAGGTTAATGCTAGCCGTTTCTTCATTGTCCCCCGGCGCGAGAAACCCCTCATTTTTCGAGCTGAGTTCTTATTCGTCCCTTGTGTAGAATCAGTTAGGGAAACTACAGGGCAAGATTGGATTTTCTTCCGAGCACCTCGGATTTTCTTCCCAAGCCCTTGTGGCCAATTGAAAATGAAGCCGTAGCAGGATGGTACCAGTATCGGTACTAATTACAGAAGAAAGATGGAGGGCACGACTGGACCAGTGGAAGCAGTCTCGTATGTTTACAAAGAGGTGCGGTCGCAGCATGTCGGATGTCGAAAAAGGGAGATGGTGACTGGATTCGCTCAAGAACATCAATGAGAGTTTCATCGAAGAACAAATCAATCAGCTTAAGAAGCGAGCAGCTACGGAGCCTCGTGCCGAGTCGCCTGGGGGTTTGCTCCCTTCAACTAGCTAGCTTGGTAAAATGCAGTGGGGCAATCATGATTGAATGACATGACAATGGTTGTGCTACCGTACCTACACTACTCACATTGAATGAATAAGCAAGCCAAACATTGGATCTCGCTCTAGTAGCATTTTGGTCATTCTGAACTAGCTGGGTGGCCACCTTCATGCCTTTCTTATACTTTACCACTATAGCTCGCCCATGCCTTGTGTGACTCCCACAACTTGACACACAAGACACCTTGAAACTCTTTGCACTCGGCCTTCAACAAGGCACTCAAATCTGTATGAATTTGCTTCGCCATGAATTCCGTGGCGGTTGGGGTCCCATCGGGCACACTCTAGAAGCCGCCTCACAAGCTTACTTTTGTCACGTGACGCTACATGATGTGTCTATCATTGTCCACGTTTGTGCAAGGATTGACCTGGGAGGCGATCGATCTTCGAAGTGACAGTCAATGCATGAATGCCTGCGAAGCCGCGACAAATGGTCTCGGTTCATGGCGCCAGATATATTTTAAAATAGGCAGTTTTATCTGAAACCTTTGAAACCATCATCGGACTCGACTCATTCGCCCTGAGCAGATTGTCAGGTGGACACATGGAATGTCGTATTTCTTGATCTGGTGGGGCGCAGGCATCGGTTTTTCTCGTCATAGGAGATTTTGGCGTCGTACTGTTAGCATCGTTTGTCATCTTCATGCACGTCGATTTTGTTTGACTCGCCACTATTAATAATGCATGCCGAACTTGTATGTAGGTATTATTTCGGCCAATGTGGAGATCGAACTAGCGCTAAAGGCGCATACAACCGTACGTACAATGTCATTCGATCCGTCGTCATCGAGCACCTCCAATGCGAAGTAAATCGGCCACTTCCTTGTGTCCCGCATCCACAGCGAGCAGCAATGCCGTTCGTCCATCCTGGGATAGTGAATTCAAGTCAATATTCATATCCGACAGCAGTACGACGACGGCATCTTTGTGTCCTTTTTCGGCGGCGTGATGCAACGGCGCCAGCCCAGTCTTTTGGTCGAGCAGGTTAATGTCGGCCCCGGCATGGAGGAGCAATCGAATGGCTTTTTGGTTCCCCTTCCTGCTGGCCGCGTAGTGCAATGGCGTTGCCCCGGATCGATCCGTGGCCGAAACATTGGCGCCTCGTTTAACGAGGATTTCCATGACGTGAAAGTGTCCTTCCAATGCCGCTCTGTGCAAGGGCGTGTATCCCTTCTTGTCGGTTATGGAAGTGTTTGCCCCACGATCAAGCAATATTCGAACAATGTCTGGTTTGTTGTTGATGGCGGCCCAATGAAGTGGCGTGAGACCCCATCGGTCCTTGGCCGACAACAATAAAGCGGATAGCGGTTTTGTTTGCCGTGGTGTTGTGATCCTAATGCGACCCTCGCCGTTTTGTTGTGGGCCGTCATCATCAAATCCCGTGGCATGCCCCGTCCACCCTCCCGCGCTGGCCATGGAAGATGCACCGGAGGAAAGCTCCTTGTCACTCATCCCGTTTGGATTCGTTTTAGAAAGGACACTAGTATCTAGAATGGTCTCGACAACGTTGACAGCGTTGACTCCGTGAAGTGGCGTTTGACCGTATCGATCTCGTACGCGTAGGTCGGCTCCATACTGGCACAACATTCTGACCATAGCCTCGTTTCCGATTTGTGCCGCCAGATGGAGTGGTGTGGATCCTTCCGTGTCTTTTACATTGGCATTTTCTCCTCGATCGAGTAATGCTTTCATGACATCTTCTCTTCCATCTTGAGTGACGAGATGCAGAGCCTTTTGCCCTGATTTTGGCGAGGCGGCTGCTTGTTTTCGATATTGCTGTATGATTTCCAGCATTTCCAGTGACAAGTGTCGTTTTTCATCTTTTGGTTGAGATGGAGATGGAGGTGGAGGTGCATTGGTTGGCATATTGCTCGTGACCTGTTTGGAATTGGGAGGGTCCACAAACTTGACTTTTGGAAGAGCAATGTCATCAGTGACAGGCGGTGGCTGTCTCTCTGGGCTGAGTGATTCATCCACCGGTACCATACTCGTATCCGTAATAAAGATACTGTTGTTTTTCATGTCTCTGATAGGCGAAAGTGGGTCGATGTCGTCTGATTGGTCTGTGCTAGTGCCCGTTCCAGTGCCCCAGCCAGAATCATCACTAGTACTGCTGTCATCACTACTAGTAGTATGGTCACTACTGATACTGCTGTCACCCTCATCACTCTGGTCATGTTCCTGTGGTTCGGCTTGGTTTGGAACATCCGAATCACTTTCTGAACCTTCAGTGAGGAGTGTCTGATTCTGTTTAGTCTGACTTGCCTGAGGTGCCTGAGGAGGACCACCATTAGTGCTCAGTGATGATTCCTGTGCTTGCTCTTGTTTTTGTCGACTACTACTATTGTTTTTGTGCTGAAGTTGCATTTGCATTAGTTGGATCTGAGTGGTCAAAAGATCCATTCTTTGATGGACCAAGTGCAGCTGTTGTTCCAGCAGCATGATCTTCCAAATGGCTCCGCAAAGAGCCATTACAACGATTGCAACTGCCAGATATGTCATTGTCATTGTCATGGTGGATCCTCCTTGCTCTTGCTCTAGCTGCTGCTGGAATTCTCGTTCTCGTTGGATCAGAGCCATTTTCAAAATTGTCAAGACATCATCCACCAGATCATTTCCAGTGCTACCGGTACTAGAAGACCCAGTGCTGGTAGAACATGTGGAGTCAACACTAGCAGTACATTCACCCAGAGCAGTGGAAGTCGTAGTAGAAGTAAAATTCAGAACATCTGCCAGTTCATTCAAATTCAGATTCAAATTGCCAGGGCTTGATAAGACACCTTCTAGAAGAGCCACCAACTGATCCATCTTCTCAAAGTGATCTACTAGCCATTTGTAGTTGGACCAACCTCATCTGCTACCGGTGCTTGCTATGGTACCACATGTATGATACCCATGCGCAACCATCCAACGGCACGAGAAAGCCACTCTGGCGACTTTGCGACAAGCGGATCGAAGTTCCGAGTGCTGACGCGACACTGAACAAGCTAGCTAAACTGCGAATGTCATGAGGATTAGACGAAGCCTCCAACCCTGGCCAAAACATCGAGTGGGCTGTATGCATATGGTACCGATATCCGATAATGAACCAACGATGTATCGGTATGCCTTGACGGTAGATGCACTCCATGTCCAAGACCATGAGGACCCACAACAGGTCACACTTCTACCGTACCGGTACTAAACCAAACCAGAACAAACCATGACGAGAGGGACTACACCAAGCCCTTCCTGCGTGTCTTCAGAGTCGCCTACCTGTGATCGTTCGCCTATACTCAGTACCGATAGATGATGGACTCCTAAGGACACAATTCCGAAGATGACACTGGATAGTACGTTGCTATTACACTTATTGCGGACAATCTTCTCTTCCGCAAAAAGTACGGGACAGAAAGATATCATTCCATCATCTAACTAACTAAATGGTGCCAATGCGCCCCACTGCCAGCCGTTTCTTGGTTTCTTCCGCCAAGCGTTTTGCCTCCTTCTCGGCTGCTTTTCGAGCCTTTTCCTCTTCACGGGCTCTTCGAGCAGCTGCTTTGGAATCCTCCTCGTCATTGGAAGAGGAGAAAGAATCCGAAGATGTTGACGACAAGAAGGAGGACGACGCAGACAAGGCAGGAGACGACGATTCTGTTTCTTCGGTCGTGGTGACTTGCACAGCCATAGCTGGATCCTTCCAACTGGTCCCTCCCGCCCAGATGGTCGCGGTAGTTACCGATGTCTGGAGAAATGCCCGTCGAGAGGGTGTAGTATTGGCATTTGCGTGCGATGGTTGTTGCTGTGGTGTCCAAGCAATGACGCGAAGTGGAAGAGATCCGTGCAATGATGCTGTTGCGGCAAGGCAGAATGCTGCTTGGACTGGACGGAGGTGCATACTTGGTCTTTAGTTGGTACGGTTGCTTGAGGCTGCTGTTGCTTGGGGTGGCCTTGATGTTTGCTGAATGTGGTGTTTGCTTGCTGGGTGTTTCGATTTTATGTGCTTTTTGTCATCAATGTATCCTGCACTCCATACTTTCAGTTGCCCGCAATGATATGATACAATACAATTGCCAACAAAAGATTCAATCGATGCGACCAATGCATCCCGAACCGAACCGGCTCCAATGGCAGTGTGGGGAAACTAAATTATAGGTACCGTTGCTATGCATAGCTATTAACCAGACAGGATAAGGAAAGACGAGGGTGTTCCTGTCCGCAACAAGGATTAGCAACAGCTGTAGCAACCCAAAACCTACACGAGAAAGATTACAGGAATGCTCTTGCCTTTCATGATCAATTCTCATTGTTGCATTGGGTGGCAACTCAACAGAAAACGTTCCTGTTGGTCCAGAGTTCTGGTTGTGGGAACTGGAGCGCAAAGCGTGGGAGTCAAGCGTGAATCAATCAATGACCGAGAAAGTCCAATGACAAAGCCAATGGATCACGAGCATCCGGTACTTTTACGATCTGATGACTGCCTGTGACTCACTCGACGACCACCATCAGCCACATCGCATCAACACAGCACAATGAAGAGACCAGCAAGTTTCCAACCACAATAGTTAGTTGGTTTGGAGCCTAGCAGTATTCATACTTGCCTTCCTAGCTAGCTGATCCTCTTGGATTGTGCTGGTCTTCGCTGCTTGAGATCAAGCAGAGTGACAGTCATTATTTCAATTGAAGAGAAGAAGCCAGCAACCAGAAAGAAACAACCAGAAAGAAACACTCACTGATACGATATTATCATTAAAACAACGGCAAGATGAGCGTGGAAGAAGAAGCACAAGGAGAGACTGAAACTGAAAAGGGAGAGGCAAAGGATGACTTGACAGCATCAGAATCTACAACTGCCACTTCCAATTCATCCAGTCAAGACCAACCAGTACCACCAGTACCACCCGTACAAGAACGCAATACACAAGAAGAAGAGCCCCTAGTCACTACTGGAATGCTGAGTGGCACTGGCACAACAGGACTGTATGAGAATGGTCTGGAGCACTCATTTGCCCCAGGCGATCATGTGATTCGATGGGAAATGCTGCCCATTCTTTGGCCCATACAAATACACGCTATTGTGCTAGAGACGGGTAGAGATTACGTCAGTATTTGTGATTTTGGACTCACGGCAGAGCCCCGACATGATCCCACATGTACCACAAAAACATCAGAATCGGATCTGCAACAAGAAGAAGAAAATAATCAAGACACTACAAAATTAGAAGCAGAAGAAAATCACCAGGAAAAAGAAAAAATCAACACAAACAAAAAATTGCTGGCGGCCTGGGACCGCATCAAACCACCCGACAATACCAAAAAGGAACGAATCACTGTTCATATCATTACCACACAACAAGAGCTGAAGGCCTGGAAAAAAGTCAAGTATGGACAAGGAATGTTTCGCAATAATAATAATAATAAAGACGGAGGATCAGAAGAAGAAGACGCAAAGCATTCACCACAAACTGACAATACACAAGCACAAGAGGAGTCAGGACAACAAAACACAAACCCCAGACCACGAACTATCATCAAGCAACGAGTTGGACAATGGTGGCAAAATAATGTCAGACACAGAAGAAACCAACAGGCCAAACAAGAACAGCAGCCTCCACAACAGCATCCACAATCATCTGAATTCAACAATGCCAGCACCGATTTTGAGGCTGCCACCGCTGCCAGTACCGGTAGCAAGGCTTCCGTGTCAAACAGTTTGGACCACAACACTACTACCAATAGTGATTCCATGGATTTTGATGCTGCAGATTCCAACGACGACAAGGCAGCTATCGAATCATGGAAGAGCGAATCCTCACTTATTGTTTCATCCGACACAGAAACCCACGAAAACAACAATGCCACAACTGCAACCACAACTGCTACTACAACTGCAACTCCTACGACTAGTACGGAACAAACACCAACACCAACAGAAGCAGAACCGCCCCGTCGGCGCATCTTTGCCAGAATCCGAGAACGGAGGCAAGCTCGGTCACAATCTCCCTCCAAACATGGAACCAACCGAATGCTGCCTCAATCGGATCCACCGGCGGTAGTCCTAGCACGCACCCAGTTTTTATTGGAATTTGGAGAAAAGGTGCTTCCACCGTACCATCCCTTCAAGGCCAATTCCGAATGCATTGCCGTCTTTTGTAAAACGGGACGTTGGAGTACGCTGCAGGCATCGGTATTCTTGCACTCGACGGCCATTGGCAATGCCAAGAGTAGCATGGCCATGACACTGGGAGTGGCCGCATCGGTGCCCCTTCTAGCACCGGCCATGGCAGGCATTGGCATTGTGGCAGTCGGTGCTCCCTACATGATTCTCAACCAAAGCCGCGAGTTTTGGCAACAAGAAACGATCCGTTTGAATGAACTCGTGTGGGCACAAGCAGGAGATTGTCCGGATAATAATAATGTCGTGGTTGGTGAAGAGTGTAAAAAGGAGCATCCAACGATTCTTCCAGAAGAGGAGTGCAAAGTGGAAGAACGCGACAATACCGGTATTATTTCGCAGGAAGAAACGGTTGGACCTGACACAGACGATAATAAGAGTGCTCCAGGTGGCACGGACGAGACCCCAGATGGAACAGAAGCAACAAGTGACGGCCCGGAGAGTACCAGTACCAGTATCAGTACCAGTACCAGCAACGAGGGCACCAGTTGTGCTGCTACCACCAAGACGAGACCCAGCGAACAACGAATCGTTTCTGTGTGAGTGTGACCGAACCATGCACCGAACCCAGACCAGTGGCTAGATTTTGCTTGGAAAAGTTTTACTATCTGTAGTAGAAAAACAACATTTCTGATGTGAATGATACGATGTGTAGCCAGCTAGATTCATTCAGTTACTTGCGAGCTACTTGCGAGCTACCGGTACATGTAACTACGGTAGCTTGTCACAAACTAACTTTAGAAAAGCACGTCATGATTATTCGACCCCGGTCCATGGTCTACCAGTGTGGACGTAGTCTAGCTAGCTTGTGCACTAGTACCGCCGGTACAGTAGAGCTACCGTACCGCGCTTTCCTGGCGGCCGTTTGTTCAGTTCGCGCCATCTTATGTTGTGGCGGGTGATGAGCCCCCCTGCTTCAAATTGAATGTAGTTAGACTAAATCTGTCTCACTGGCTGCTTTGTGACGGATTGGCGGTTGACGGAGCATCCGGTAAAAACGAATCTTTGTATCTTTTCAAGAATGACCCTCACGGGACTTGTTCATCGCAGTGAGAAACCAGATGATGGACCACTTCACTCGCTCGGCATGGCAGTTTGCAGTGTTCTGTTACTTCTTGTCTGTCAGCTCGAGAGACGTTGGTCACACCAAGTGAGTGCATCGAGTACTATACGGTAGTCTCGAGTGGATTGTTTCTTGCCAGATGCAATGAATGTCTGTTTCTCGAAACCCAAGGGGCTTTCATGATCCACCATCCTTCGTCCATCATAGCACTGGCAACAAGTAAGAGAAGGAACCAGAGAAAGAACAAGAACATGAAGAGTGACAGTCGTAGTCGACGAGGCAATGTAAATGTGGTTGTGGTGTGGCTCCTGTTGACCTTGCTGCTCCACCAATGCCCCGTGACATTAGGGGCAAGGCTTCGAGGAGGATCAGGCGGAGGAAGTGAGCTGTGGCGGTCTGCCTTGATTGATGGTTCCAATTCTGATCTCAGCATTGACATGCCCATGCCCATGCACATGGGGCATCACCATCACCAGCACCATCATCAACAACATCATGAGCAGCACGAACAGCAACTGGATGGTCTAGTGTGTCCATGGGATGAAATGTCTGCTGCATCTGCCTGTCCTGCCAGCACTGCCAACAACCAAACCACTCCCGTCTGTCAGTACCACGCTGCCATGGACGAGTACGAGACTGTGTGTCTCAAGACCCACGCCATTGCACAGGACTCGGCCTGGTTGCCACATGCCCACTCCAAATCCTACTGTGGCGTCTGCAAAAAGTGCTTCCAGGACAGACTGGAACTCAAAGCTGCCATTGACCAGTACAAGTCATATACACACGTAAACACGGAACTGGCCGAAGTCTATGGATGGCCCATTGGAAAATGGTGTGTCGACAATGTCACTTCCTTCTCCAACCTATTCTTCAAGAAATCAAAGTTTAATGAAGACATTAGTCAATGGCAGACTTCACAAGTCACTGACATGACTTCCATGTAAGTACCAGTACTCATAAGCAATGAAACACAACATGTACTCTTTCATTCACTCATTCCCACTCTGTCTGTGATGTGCTTTGCTGTGTCCATCACAGGTTCCAAAATGCATATTCATTCAATAAACCACTCAATACATGGGATACTTCCAAAGTCTCTGCCATGACCAGAATGCAAGTACAGTATGCTATAGATCTCAATTGACACATGCACACACAACAGCTTGTCACTCACTCACTCCATGCATTGCATCTTTCTCTTGCAACACAGGTTTGCCATGGGCATTCACTTTGATCAAGACATTTCTTCCTGGGATGTCTCTTCTGTCACAGACTTTGGATACATGTTCTTGCATGCACAAGAGTTCAATCAAGATATTTCAAAATGGAAAGTACATAATGCAAGACATCTCGTGTCCATGTTCTTTGGAGCAACCCAATTTGAACAAAATCACCTACAGGAATGGGAGATTAGTGAACATGCCGATACACAAAACCTATGTCAATGGGATGACAACCGGCAGTATCATCATCATCAAACAAAGAAGAACAAGAAAGATAGTGCAACCACAACAAACAATACACAGCAGAACGACAAGCCACAATCGCAGCAACCGCTGTGATCACGGTGCATGTCAGATGCGTTTTGGTGATCTTCTCTAATTCTCTGCTCGGCACCCAGTGCGACGACGTACTGGTCCAGCTAAGTAACTGTACATACTAAAGATTACATTCTTTTTGCAAGCAACGCTGTGGATCATTGCTCAGCTTTGTCGGATTCGATTCTCAACACTTGGCTCCAAACCGGCAGCGGCTGGAAATCAGCGTCAAAGTTTGTCTGCAAGATTGAATTATTCCGAACGCTCTACTGTGCTACGGTACCGTACGGCACACTACCAGGTTCTACTAGATAGTTTGAAGTTGAAGGAGGTATTCTTACATATGGTATGCAGGAAGTACATGTACTTAAAAACTGTGAAGGTCTTCGAAGAAAGCAGGGGGAAGTTTGATGGAGCAAGCATCTACAAACCATCCGCAGAAACTACTTGTACCGAGCAAATCCCTTGATCCATTGGAAACATCAAGCTCGGGTCAACTAAGGAAACACGCGCCCTTTGATGCAGCTCTGCGCTGTGAGTGGTTGCGTCCCTCCATGTCTGAAGAGTAGTTAGGATTTGCCCTCCTTGAGCTTGCCCTTCCAGTTTCTTGGTAATCTTCATGGCGGGTCCAGCATACTGCAGTCGTCCGGACACGGGGTTGGCAAATGTCGTAACTTGGCCTTGGTGGATGCATATGCGGACGCGCAAGCCACGGCGACCGTCGTTCGTTGACAGAGACGATGCCGTTAGACGCAAAATCTTATCCGACCACGATGCTCGATGCAAGTTCTGCTGGAGGGCCAGTCCAAACGCAATGGCGTGAGATGGCTCATGAAACGCCATGATAAAGGCGTCACCTTCGGTTTCGCACTCGTAGCCGTAGTGCTCTGCCATCGTCTTGCGCATGATCTGGTCATGCAAACGCAGGGCTTGCAGCATGGCTCTTTCGTCTGCCTCCCAGAGAGCTGTAGACCCTTGAATGTCTGTCGAAACGATGGTGACTATTCCCGCTGTTGGAGGTGCTCTGTAGTAGTTGCCATCGGTCTCTTGTTGCTCTTCCAGTTCTGAAATTCTTTGACACAAGGACTGATTTTCCATAGCCAACAACTCAGATTCTTCTCTGAGAGTTTTGGCAATGGAGGAAGCTTCATCACTATCAGGAACACGCCTTACCGCACAAGAGCGGCAGATCGTATCTGAGCAACTGAGTCTGGCGGTAGACCTGGTGGCGTCCATGAGTTTTGAATGATCAATACTTCCAAAGTCCACGTAAACTTCCTCAAAGGCGTCGCAAAGGACCCTACGATGACCTTGGTGAGTGATGTTCAATTCATCCATGGCATCGATAAACTCGGCCGTAGAGAGGGATGCCAAAAGCTCGCCATCCACCCCATTCTCGGCAAAGGACCTTGCGTATGGTTTGAAGCAGCCACAATTGCCACCAAGAGAAGTCACGAAAGTGGCAACTTCTTCGCGGGAAAGAGACAAAGCCAGTTGTCTGGAGGGGAGGGAGCCCATTGCAAAGTAAGTACTCGGTAGTTGTCTTGTATTTTACCTTGCTTGTCGATAGGAGATAAAATAATTGTGAGAGCTTCACTGTGCGAATGAACCGGGGTTCAAGGTCTGTACAAACTTTCGATTGACGGTTAACTTGCAAGTTGAAGTTCGCGAAATCACCATTCGGAGTGGAGCATAGCGGTACTGGTACAGCTCTGGTACCACGATGCTGTCTTCTCGATCTGCTCTCAAATCCAGCTTCACTTCGACCTTTTGTGCTCGAGAGCACTTCTAGAATTCTACAGTACGTACCACGAATGCAAAAGCACTGCTGGGATCAAACTAAAAACTAGAATCATCAGGCAGAGGCTACACCAGGCTCCAGGCTCGAGTTGGCAGCCTGCTGTTGATCCTTGGGCATCTGGCTAGGTCGCAACTGTAACTTGATTGCTGTGTCACAACCTCCAGTACCGGTATATCCCTCGGTTGCACAGAATTATCTATGATACTGGTCCAGTACGAAAGAAACGAAATGGGAGTAGACAGGACAACGGATTAATCCTTCAGTCATCTTCAAACTCCCACCAATGAGTCATCATGGGAAGTGCGTACTAGCTAGTATTCCATTTCCTCTCTCTATTGACTACATGCATACATAGCGCGACCTTGTTACTTGTCTGCATGCAGACAGCCACGAGAAGCTGTCTAGATTGTTTTCTGCTTCCACGGTGACGATTTGGGGCTGCTTCATGGTGTTCTGGAGCCAATCTATTGATTTATTTTGCCATACGACTGTACGAAGAGACGTAGATACAGAAAACACTACATGTATCATTGGCAAGGCCCAGGAGAGATCTGTCTATCCGTCCTTGCTGCCTGCTGCTGCTCTTCTCTTCTCTGTACGTAGTCAAAGTTACCTTGAAAAGACAGAGGCCTTCTCACGTGGCAAAGTGACAGGAAGGAAAATTCCGTGAAAATGCTTTCAGTTGCGACCCCGCCGCAACTGTGCAACTTCTCTGGAAAGGGAGTATTTGGCACCTAATTAAACTCTATGCTTCAAGCTAAAGACAGTCGAAACGTGTTCTGGGAAGCTCCAACTTGAAGAAATCTCTGTTGGAGTTTCAAACAGAAAACAGCTTCTCGAGCACTGAAAATGAAGGACTGCCCTTCATTTGTTTTTGGTTGGCATACATGTACTAGATCTAGTACATGGCATCGGCCTCCAACAGCTACTGGTACCGGTTGTGGCTAGTTCGCCTTTGACAAGCCGATAGTTGCCTGCCATACTCATTAATGATCGTGAAAGCCCTTGTTTTGACCAAGTCTGCCCTTCGGAAGACCCCACTGGAACTTTGCTCTCGGTCGCTTTCTCGCTTTGGACGCTTCAACAACAAAAACAACTCTGCCGTTCTTTTGCACAGCAACTGAAGAGCCGGCATTGGCTGTTCTACAAAAGAAGCACTGGTACACAGCCGTACCGGTAGTGGTCGCCACAGTCTCACCGCAGATGCATGCATGGTGGATGTATCTGGAGCGGACCGGCACGATTCTTTCAATGGTATTTGTCTTGGTTGCGACGTATACATCTTTCGCTTCGAGCGGGATCCTCGAGATACAGGGGTCCTCACAGTCGGGTCGTCTCGGCGTTTGCTGTTGAAGTTTTGTAGCCTTGCCCTTTCGTTCATACGTCCAGTGGCTACGATACTCCAGCAGTTCGAAAATGCTGGCTGTTGCATAGAACATGTCCATCAGTCCCGGTCCGGAAAAGAATGGGTATTTCTGGCAGCGGTATTTTATGCAGGTTCCGCCTCCATTGCATCAAGAAATGAACTCAGCTGCTGGGACTTACTTTCGAAAAGCAACTGCCTGGAGCCCCCACTACGCACGTACCAATACCAGTGACGGTATGTACCGTACGTTTCCGCACCCATACCGGTACCGGTACAGATCACCAGCACAGCACTCATTTTGACCAAGAAATCTGAGCGTTCGATTTGAAGTTTATTCTGGTTTCTTTGGCAGATTCTGATCTTTATGGCTTCGTCAAAGCAATGTTCGTGACGGCGGTCAGCGAGAGCTTCAACTTCAACGGATGTGAAGGTGCTTCAATGCACCCTGCATGGTATCAGTACCATTGGATTCGTGCAAACGAATCGCTCTCATCCAGCTGAGGCTATGTTATTCTCTGTGGTGGCCAACTGTCATCCAACGATAGAGGCGGCAAAACAGTAATAACGAACGTACAATAGTGCATCGTATCATGCTGGTGTTCTTGGTTATCCACGAGAAACTCCGGGTCAAACCCAAGCACACGATCGAACTCAAATGCATGCTTGAACGTTGAGTATCTGTGCCGTAGAGTTAGTTGAGACTGTGGAGATACCGTATTCATTGCTCACACGGACTTCTACTGTTGTTGGTCAGTTGGCTGTCAATACAATACTTATTGATAAAACAGTGAGCCTTCAAAATGCTTTCACAGGAGCTCACTTTACTAGCCCGCAAGAAAGGAATCACAACCTAAGTATAGCGCAATTTGTTCTCTCTCTCATGTTTGGATCCCTCCGATCCATGGATGCACATTCTTATGTTTCCCACCATGCTCGTGAATTATTGCGTTGTTGCTCGCTCGCTTGCTTGCATCCTTTTAAATAGACATTAGAAACTGAACATGGTTGTCATATCGAGCTTTCGTCCCGCCGACATCATGGGAACTTGCGTGTATTTTCCATCCAAGATTTGTCGCATGCTAATGAGCAAATCGGTGTATTCGACTTGTTTGCGTTCTTTGAGTGATCGAATGAGTGCATATGTCATGGCGCCAGTGGCTTGTCCATCAATGCTAGCATCGGCACTGGTTTGACTATCTTTGCATCCCGAAAAGGAAATGACATCGGCCACAGTGGATCGTGTGTCAATGGTTTTTTGTCGTGCGGCGGCATTTCCCGTTTTATCTCCTTCCATGAGCGACTTGAAACCTTGCGTCAAACTAGTCATGGCCGCCTTTTTGTTTCCATCGAGGACGTATCTGACCCCAGTGGCAACTAATTTGGAGATCCCCTTGGCCTTGTTCATTTCTACAATTTCTAAATCACCATTGACGTTGTAGCAATAGGGCAGATCGAGCATGCTTTCGGAATGGCAGCAATCCATAATGGCGGTCAATCGGACGCCCTGGTTATTGCAAGTAAAGAATGAATGGTCAGAAGGTCAAAGGAATGGAAGGAAATGAAAGCGCAACGAATGAATGTGTTTTGGGTGTGTAGTTAGTTACCTCTGGAAGTCCCTTTACGAGCACGGCATGTACTTCATCGTCAACAATGACACCATTTTTGGAATAATCGACAGGACAGAGTGTTTCATCCATTCCATCTTCTTCATCCCCATCGGTATCTTTTTGGGATCCTCCGTGTCCCGAGTAATGCAAGACGAGTGCATCTCCCGGTGACGCTCCTTGTCGGAGCCATCGGAATCCCTTGAGAATGTTGGCCCGAGTGGGCATCTTGGAAGGATCATTCGTCTGATCGTCAGTGAGCACCATCATTTCGTCAATGGGGTAATTGGCTTCGAGAAAGGCCCGAATGTTCTTGACATCGTTGATGCAACCACGCAATTCGCCCTTTTGACCGTAATAGTTGATGCCGATAAACAGTGCCTTGCGTTTCCCAGTTACTTGGCCTACGGTATACAAAACACAAAACATCCATGCAGTGAGATAAGATAAGCATGAGTACGGTAGACAAATCACAATTCATTTCACTTGCACATTCAAGCTAAGTCTTACCCAATTTTTCAGTGGGAGTTTCTGCAAAGATAAAAAAGAGAGAAAGACCAGAACTGATAAGTTTCCTTTTGTGTCAATCCAATCTTTTTCTTTTTCTGCTACCTCATCAGTAGACTACTTTAGGCAGCTCACTGGAGCCACCATACATTACCGCAGGGTATGTGTGATCCTGACTCAACTCACCTATAGAAGTCTTGTTTCCTTTCTTGGACAAGTGATCTCCTAGCAAATTCTCCACTTGATTGCTGATAAACCCAGCATACTGCTTCCCTGTCTTGCCAAACATTGTCTACCGTAACACTCTACGATGTAGTTAGCTACTGATGATCAACTCTATGCATACAACAGAGCCCTCCAAGGTACTTCTATCTTCCAAGCTTTTCTTTGTTGGCGATCTCGAATGGAGTGAGGAAGCAGAAAAGATACCCCGAACTGGATTAGGAATTCGGTTATCGTCTTCCCTCCTCTAAACCCCCGTTCCGATTCAATTCGATCATACGGGATCAAATTGTTTGAGGACTGTGAAGTGTGCATCCCACATGATTTTTTGGATTAGTCTAGGGACCCTGCCCCATGTGTCTTGTGATACCTTCATATATTGATCTCATTGGGGACGACCATTTGATGCATTCGGGTCCTCCATCGATTTATCCAATGATGGCAAAACCCTTGCTACTCCCCAGCCAAAATGAGGAAAGCCGCAAAAATGGGGAAAACCTCTGGATCACTTTGGAAACAAATAAGGAATTCCACCTGAATGTTCCTAGGAGCATGACTGAAAGATGATTTTGTGATCAAAAAGCCACCATCTGCTGGTTACCAGATCTCAGTCAATATCCAACCAATTGACCTCTAGAGTTGTTGAATGGTATTCGTCAGCAATGATGTTGTTTTGAATAACATTGTCTTACTTTGTTGAGATAGTGTAGTTGATAGTGTCATATTGGGTGTTTACTAGAATGGGTCAATTTTGCACCGAATATTTCTAAATGTAAGGGTATAGATACTGCAATTTGCCTTAATGCCAAGGCGTAAAGGCTGACTGATCTTTATGCTACTAGGTGATGTTAGGTTGCCTGTTTTCTTAAAACTAAGTAGTAAATGAGAACTTCCCCATTTGTGCTGCGGAGTAGCTTGTGGCTGGATCTGTGAATGCTTTCTTTGGCCCAGTATTTACTTTACATGGTTTTGCTCACATCTACAAGTTTGATGGCACTGATTGGATCCTTCAAGAGATCAACAGAGCCCAAGGTTTTGCTATTGATGGAATCAGGGATGGTGATTTGTTGGGACGGAGTGTTGCTGTTTCTGGTGATGGTACTGTACGAAAGTTGTTGTTGGAGCACTCAGTTATGACGGTCCTGACACAAATAATGGACTTGTCCAAATGTGGGGACAAACTGACTTTCCCACATTTTCACCCACCCTGAATCCATTGCCTCAAGTTGGCCAGAACCTAGGCACTGGTGGAAGCCCTGCAGAGGCCAATTTCGTTAGTAAGGCATTCACATGGTGGCAGGGTGCAGTCGCCTATTTGGAAGTTTTTTTTTTGATTGATGTGGTTTTGTTGAATGATTGATTGTCAAGATGTTTCCATTTCAGCCATTTGTCGCGGCTTGGCATTCAACAATATTGACTATCACCTTGAAGATTCCAAAACTATGTCGCCGTGAGTGAGATTTGACAGCGTAGCAGTTTTATTGCTTGCTGTGTACCGCCCCTGTGGCCGAGACTAGTAGGGGGTGTGTGCTCTAGCTAGCTAGCCAGTACGGACCATGTACCGGTAGCTAGACCACAAACGTACATCATCGACAAGCTGGACATGAGCAAGAGTCCCAACCTGGGTTGGTCATCATGGCGACTGTCCGAGAGCTTACATGTACTAGCTATTAGCTAGGTATACATTTATTTTGCTGAGATGTAGTTAACTATTCATTCCAATGATAATTGCACCACGATGGTCTCGGTATGCAAACCAGGTCAATCATCCTTCATCAACCCAGTGAGCCCAGCACGAACGCTTTCGTCGTGGTGTTTGGATGCTGGTATGGATGATACTACAGTATTAATAGTAGCAATAAGCTTGTGAAGCGGCTTTATTACAGTACACGTAGAGCAATCACGGACGACTTGCTGGGTGAGATAGAGCTGGTGAGAGAGATGCCTGGCGACAATGCCGCTTTGGTGCTGGTGGCTCAATCGGTCGGGACATGTGCCCAAATGTGACTCCCTATGTGCAATCGTCATGGAGGAACCTTTTGTGATCTTATGTCCTGGCGAATGTTGAACGCGGATGTACTTTATGTTGGATACTAAAGCGGATGCATCTTCTGAAAGGATGCAATGTCTAAGTAAAAGATGGCGGTACTGGTAATGATGTGCCGGTGAGAACCAATGTAGTTAATCAGGGTTAACCAGTTTAGAGACACTGGGAGTGAGAAGAGTTAGGCTTGTATCTTATTCTTGTGTCTCATCGTGACAAACTTTGCGGTTGCTCGTAACCTGGACTCACTGGACTCAGGCTGCATGACCACTGCCACTCACAATTTGAAAGACAGCAGCGAAACCGCTTTGCATTCTCACAACAAGCAAGCTAGCTACCTCTAGCGAACTAATAGCAACCATGACATCTCCTACTACTAGTAGCTTATCAAGACAACACTCTGATGAAGAGGAAGCAACGCTGCCCCTTCCTACAAGACGGGAAGAAGAAGAGGACAAGTCGGGGTCGTCCAGTAAGATTGGATGGAAGGGAATGATTGTGTTGGCGGCTGTGTCTGTTGGTGTTTTTATCGGTGTTTCTACTTTCACTACAGTTGGTACCAGTAGTGCGAGCCATGAGGTTAAGTTCGCTGCTGCTCCTCGCAATCTCGTATGTCTGGATGAAGCAGTGGATTCTACAAAGCAACTTCACTTTGGTCTTCACCATTTGCATCAGTCATCTCTGGAAGATGGGAGAAAGCTGCGATTGTCCAGTTACCAAGCGCCTGATGTGGGCGGTGGAATCACCAACAACTTTGGAGTCGGTGGAAATCAACGTGACATTCCTGCTAGTACAGCCAGTCCGGCACCCAGTGAGAGTTTCGCTCCCACCGTGAGTATGTCTCCTAGCTTTGTCCCTAGTTTGGCGCCATCTGGTGCGACACGTCAAGCGCAATTGAGTAATCCACCGTCCGTCAGTGCTCAACCTAGTGCATCGCCCAGTGCGACTCCCAGTACATCGCCTAGCGCCAGTCCCAGTGCTTCCCCCTCTACCAGTCCTTCTATCAGCAACGCTCCGTCCGCCCCCGAAGGAGAATACGGAACGCTCTACTTTGTCGCTTATCTCAGTGGACGACCTGAATTCGGATGCGAAGAACCCATTCCCGCCATGTCCGCGACGTGCGACGGCAATGGCACTCTCGCCATTATTGAACACCCCGATGACAATCACGATTGCAACGTCACGGACAACAAGCTCGTGTGTGGACGAATGATCAAGGCACACATCTTACTCAGGTGTTCCACCATTGGCATGGCCAATCGACAAGACTTGGTCTTGAATGTTACATTGCCCGAAGCGGACCTGAACTGCGATGCCTGCATTGACGAAGACTGCGAGATTATTCGATCCGACTTGACGGGAGAATCCTACAATCGTCTCTTTGTCTTTACGGGATGCGACGAAGACTTTTATAACATTGTCACCGACGAGTGTTCGGGAATTAAACGACTCGATCTCAAGGGCAATACATTCTGTGAAACCTTTACGGGATGTCGCGTCCCAGCGCCAGGAGGCATGTGTTCGCTCAATCTCAATGCTACGGATGTACAGGCGACGGCGCCCCTTTTACCGGAAGGACATCGATGCATCTATCCGTTTGGATATGGTAGTACGGATGCACCCACCACTGGGGCGCCGTCGCAAGCACCCAGTCTAAACCCCAGTGATGCATCACGAGGTATCTTTTTTGATTTCTCGCCCTTCCCATCGACAAACCCCAGTGAAATGCCCAGTTGGGCGCCTTCTGTGAGTAGCGCACCCAGTCAAGTTCCGTCGCTCAGTAGTAGTCCCAGCGAAATGCCATCCACACAGTAAAAAGCACAAACAAGCATGCAACAGCACCAAATACGAATCACACAATAGGAAACACTACACGCTTTTTTAAAAGTCAGAATGTAACTTTAGGAACTTTATTCATTACATAGTACCATTTCATACACATGCCTTTTGCTTTTCTGTTCTCTACGCTAACTGTCACTCGCATCGACACTTGGTTTCACTCACGTACCGTAACGTACATAGTAGCTCGAGCTCGGTAATAGCCGACGTCTGGCAAGGTACATTTTAGTGCTGGTAACGACCAAGTTCGTTCGCAAGCTTAACCCGAGGAACGATCGCATTCGTTTGCGGTGCACATAGATGTTGTGTGGATGTACCGTATGTGCGTACCGGTACCCATTGGTAGCTCGGCACGAACTGCAGTACGGGCGAACGGCAGTGCAACAACGCGGGATGGAACTGCAGCCACTACACTACGGTACGAGACAAAACGTTGCTGATTCGATTCATCATGCATCATTTATTTATTTATTTGCCTTGTTACACACCGTGCATCATGGACGCAATTAATTGTGGCCCTCCAACTTGACCTTCTTGGCTTGACCAACTGCGCATGCGACTACTAACCTAAAGTGCCTCTTGGTCGGCCTGCCTTCTTACTCAAGTTACGACCTGGTGGCCTGCTTCAAGAGAGCAAAGAACGCGTCTTTCTCTGCCGCCACACCCGGATCCACCGAAAGGATGCGAAGCTGCGCCTTGTAGAGTGGCTTTTGCCTCTTTCCCAAGAAACGGGATTTGTTGACCGTCTTTTGCGTCAATTCACAACACTCCCCGTTCAGCTGTTGGAACGTGCAATTCTTGGAGAGGCGAAGGGTACGTTCCGGTACCATCTTGTCACGAATCGTCACTTTTCCGCCTTGACCTTGATGGCCGCCGTTGCCTTGCTTTTTCTCCACGGCTTCCTTGCTAAAGAAGGGGAACAAGTGCTCCATGGCAACGCGGGGGTCGCATCCTGGATAGATCTTGGGATCACCAAAGTCCACTTCGGTAGCCATGGTGAATGGCGAGAGATCAAAAATGTGCAGGTACTGATCCACCGTGATGACTGCCAAGGCAATCCTCCACCTATCGGCGGCACTCATGGGAGTGTACGAGTTCTTCCATTCCATGACGCGGGCCGTAATGACCAATCCCTCACAGTCCAGACCAAAGCCGGCCGCCGAATCATCGGGCAGGGAGAGCTGGAATTCATCGGGCAAGTTTGCCTCGACGTGCGATTTGACTCTCTTTTCCATATCCGAGTGGATGGCTTCGAGGGAATTGACCATCATGGCCGATCCACTGGGAAGCTTCATGTCGGCTTCTTCTCCAATGCTCTTGAATAGCTTTTGGAGACAGTTCAAGAACTGGACCATGCATTCGTTCAACTTGATGCGACGAGTGACTTCCATTTCCTTGCTGGAAGCGGCGAGCCTAACAATCTCGGGTCCACGTTTCTCCCAGGTGGATCTCTGGAGGGACACGGACATTTGATACTGCATCTCGACGACCCACAAATCTTCGATGGGGATATGCTGGACGTCTGCTTGCTGGACGCTGTCGGCTGGTTCCTCGAAATTGTTGGCAACGGGGGCACCTGCTGACCCAGAATCCATGCTCTTGGCAGCTGTCCTCCAGTACGCCTCTGATAGTAGATAATGCAGTATTTGGGAAGAAGGATTAGTAGGAGACAAGAGATTATAATCAGTAGAACAAACAGGGGCCGTCCCAACATAGATTGAGAAGCACCGTGGAGTTGACATGAAAACAGCAAGCGACTTACCCCAAGTTTTCTGAACCTGCGCTTCCATGTGCTCTAGTTCTGCCAGAATAGGTTTTCCAACGTTTTCAAATTGATTCTTTTGATCCTGCAAGGCATCCTGAAAGGACGATAGAACCGAGACGACATTGTCCTCAATATCGACGGCACTTTCTTCCAGAGTCGCCGCCAAAATGGTGTTGGCTTCCTGCCAGGAATGCAACAAGGCGGCCGAGGGAGAGGAATCTCTAGGAGCCTGCGTGACTCCCCTCTGTGTAATTGCCCGCGCATATTGACTCTGTGCAATGGAAGTGCCCAATGCCAACCGGTAGACCTTGGCGGTTTCATCGAAACTGTTCTGCAGGAGATCCATGAGACTTTTAAAGTAGAGCTGCGTGGCTTCCAATTTCGCACTAAAGGTCGTGCGCCGCTGGGCTTCGTAGGCACGCAGTTCTTCAAAGAGTTCCGTGCGAATCACTTGCTTCTTGTTTTGTTCCTGCCAACGGAGCAACTGAAACGGAGGAGGCTTGGCCGCTTTCTTCTTGCGCTGCTCATCGCGGGCCAACTCTTCTTGCTCGTCATTGAAGGAAGGATCTTCCGTGTTACGATCCATGGCCTCGTCTTCTTCCCAGGGGTCGTGGGGCTCTTCCTCTTCGTCACAGTCACTTCCAACCGCCTCCTCAACAGGAAGTACCGCAATCACTCGAGGTTCATTGTCGAACCGGACGTGATAAGCTGTGCTCATCTTCACTTGGTTTCTTCGGTGTTGGCTGTTTCTATGCCAAACTTATGGACTGTAGTTGTATAGAGGTGGCAGTACCCATATCTTTGGCAAAAGGTCATTTTGGAATTGGATCCTAAATCTGCAGTGTCGGATAGCTCGAGGGCCCTCAAAAACTGGAACGATTTTAGTATGGGTTAGAGTTTCTTAGGGATGAGGATACTATGTGGCCTTTAAGTCCTCGCTCGAAATCTGCACTTTAAGTATCTGAATGTCCTACCGTACCGGTGCAGATGTCAGTCGTCTACTAGTACAGTCGTAGTGGATCCGGCAGCAGCTTTTCCACCCCCCTTTGATCTCCGATCTCCGATGCCCATCCTCGTCCTCCTCACATTGACTCTATGAAGGCTGCATTTGAGGACATGCTGTACCTCACTACCCGAACATGTATCTGAATCCGAGGAAGCATCTGATTGCGATTGATTCGTCCTCATTGTCAAACCTGACTGTCCCCGCCTACCGATAGAAAAAAACTCTTCTCTTCCGCTTCCATACCAGCAAGTATATCAGGGCACCTCGTCGCTGTCGATAGCATCTATCCCAGCAGCAATCCGTGCTTGCCTCACTGCAATCTGCAGGTGCTATTGACGGACTCGCACTTTCCGGTGCTTTTTCCCACAAAGTTGTTGCAGCGGAGAGGGCATAGAATAGGGAAGCTATCTTCCTGTATGGAAGGGCAAACGCTTCAAACGCCTTTCTCGGCGAGGGACCAGTAATGAAAACGCTGGCCGAAGAGGGAAACTACAAAGACTTTGCTCAGTGCAGTTAACTTTAGAATTCGAAGGTACTGGTAGCAGGTACTAGCTAGCTTCCGCACGTTTCCTCATTGGATCACCTCGCCATAGTAGTTTTCAAAGACAACCTTGCCACCTCTACAGCGCCCACAATAATCAGACTCATACAACCTTATGAGTCGAGTTTGCTCTGTGGGAATGCAAAGCTCACGATAACCGTGCCCTTTCACCAAGTGACAAACACTTGCGTACCCTGGTTGGATGCCGTAGCCTTCTCCACACGGGTAATCCCAGTCGGAACAGTAAGATCCTTGACTCGAGGTACCCTCCATATTTGAGCCCAATCCTCTGGCTTCCCTTGCGCCTGCCAGAGAACATAAAACCACGGTTGTTAGTCTTGGCACTGTCAACCCATCCATCTTGGCCGTTATTTCGGGATGTATCTTCTCATATTCTCTCCCACAACTCACGAAGCTTGCGTGCCATCACCTCAAATCCTCCTTGGCAAGGACCGCAATAGTCATGCTCAAAGTACACCAGCGTTTCTGACATTTCTTCTTTAATGCACAAGGTGTGGTATCCCCACAAATAGGAATAGTGACAGACTGAAACCATGCGGGCGTCAGTTTTACCCTGAGGGCCACATGGGAATGCATCTGACAGACAGTAAGGCTCGTGATCATCTTCAATGTCCTCAGGTGGTTGGCTCTTACAAGACTCAGAGCTGCAGAAGAGCTCTTTTGCTGGAGCTGGTTCATCTGCCAAATCTTGATCCAGCTTTGCTTCATACCACAGGAGGTCACGGTTGCGAGTCGTTGAACACTCCCCACATGTGGAATACACAGTCATATCACTATACTTCTGGCAACCATAACTGCCGGTATCTGCAGCCGATGTTTTTCGGCAATATCTCATTTTCGTTCCACTGCTACCGGCACAGTTATGATCTTCTGCGGGACAGGTTGATGCATCAAAGTCTCCTTCATTGCAGGGGCCACAGGTAGAGTACTGGCCAAACTCGGTGGCCTTGATACATGAGTACGTGCCAGCATCAGAAGCCGAGTCTCGGCTACAGGCTACATAGTAGTTGATGTTTGACTTTGTGGCACAGATGTAGGAATCGTCACACGTCAATGAAGATCCGATGGATGGCATTGCTGTGGGTGGCGGTTTAGTGGGACCAGCAGTTGGACCACTCGTGGGTGGTGCCGTGGGGGATTTAGTTGGACCAGCAGTGGTGTTCGAGTAGGTCCGCTTGTGGGTGGCGTGGTTGGTGATTTAGTGGGACAGCAGTGGGTGACTTTGTGGGACCAGCAGTTGGTGATTTAGTGGGGCCGGCTGTTGGACCACTTGTGGGTGCGCCGTGGGGGATTTAGTGGGACCAGCAGTTGGACCGCTTGTGGGTGGTGTGTGGGTGATTTAGTGGACAGCAGTTGGACCGCTTGTGGGCGGTGCAGTGGGTGATTTGTGGACCAGCAGTTGGTGATTTAGTGGACGGCTGTTGGACCACTTGTGGGTGGGCCGTGGGGGATTTAGTGGGACCAGCAGTTAGGTCCGCTTGTGGGTGGCGTGGTTGGTGATTTAGTGGGACCAGCAGTTGGTGACTTTGTGGGACAGCAGTTGGTGATTTAGTGGACCGGCTGTTGGTCCCTCGTGGGTGCTGCAGTGGGTGATTTAGTGGGACCAGCAGTGGGTGATTTAGTGGGACCGCAGTTGGTCCCTGTGGGATTTTAGTGGGACCCAGTAGGGGACTTATTGGGACCAGCAGTGGGTGCTTAGTGGGACCAGCAGTATGGTCCGCTTGTGGGTGGCGTGGTTGGTGATTTTAGTGGGACCAGCAGTTGGTGACTTTGTGGGACCAGCAGTTGGTGATTTAGTGGGACCGGCTGTTGGACCACTTGTGGGTGGTGCCGTGGGGGATTTAGTGGGACCAGCAGTGGGTGATTTAGTGGGACCAGCAGTGGGTCCACTTGTGGGTGGCGCGGTTGGCGACTTAGTGGGACCAGCAGTGGGTGATTTTGTGGGACCAGCAGTTGGTGATTTAGTGGGACCGGCTGTTGGACCACTGTGGGTGGCGCCGTGGGGGATTTAGTGGGACCAGCAGTGGGTGACTTAGTGGGACCAGCAGTAGGTCCGCTTGTGGGTGCGCGGTTGGTGATTAGTGGGACAGCAGTGCGCTGTTGGGGCTGGGTGACTTTGTTGGGACCAGCAGTTGGACCACTTGTGGGTGGCGGTGTGGTGATTTAGTGGGACCAGCAGTTTGGGAATTTGTGGGAGCAGCAGTGGTGATTTCAGTTGGTGATTTAGTGGGACCGGCTGTTGGACCACTTGTGGGTGGCGCCGTGGGGGATTTAGTGGGACCAGCAGTGGGTGATTAGTGGGACCAGCAGTAGGTCCGCTTGTGGGTGGCGGTTGGTTGATTTAGTGGGACCAGCAGTGGGTGACTTTGTGGGACAGCAGTTGGTGATTAGTGGGACCTCGGCTGTTGGACCACTTGTGGGTGGCGCC